TGTATCGGCACTCCCACTCAAAAAGTGTACTTTCAAAGAATATTTTTTAAACTGATTATTCTTTGCTGTCGTCATAATTCAGAAATATTGTACTGCTGATGCAGTGGTATCATTTAAGATTCCCATAATTCAGACATATTTTTAAAATTATTCAGCAACCTTTTAGAGCACAGTAAGGAATCAGTAAGTTAATAATAAAATCCTTTGCAGAAAATATATCAGAGTCATTGGCCTCATCTATATTGTTCTACTTGGTTGGTATTTATCTTTCAGCTTCACCTTTTTTTCCATTTCTGAAACACACAGGGGTGCAAAACTGTGTAAACAGAGGGAACATTGTTGTCCACTGTTTGCTCTCTGGCTCAGGCTCTCTTTAGCCTCCTGATCGCTGCTGCAGCTCCAGGGTCAAAGATCGTGGACTTAAGGGTCCCTCTTTAATTACTGCATACTAGCTGAGGAGAAAGCTAAGGGACTGGCGCCCCTTGTTGTGAAACCTGGCTGCATCTCTAAGTGGGATTTTCTACATAGAAAGTTAATTTTGCATTCTAAAACCAAAGGAGTATAATAGTAACTGAAATAAACCATTGCTGTAGCTAGGAAGTGATCCCCACATCAGTCACAAAACATTCCTGTGTTAGGGTTCACTTGGCTTTCCTACACAAAGGAAACTTGATTTATGCACCTGAAGGGTGTATCTTAGCAACAGCTGTGAAGGAAATGTACTCAGAAACTTTCTCTGGGCTTTGTTTAAAGGGAGCTGCACTGCTGAGGTTAAAGAAGTTTAACATGTTCTCTATAGAGTACTTTATATATAATTGCATTAATTTTAAGGAGGAAAAGAAGCAATTAGTCTTCTTAGCTGGGGGTAGATTCTTTTATTTTTAAGATACACATCCCCACACCATGGTAGGAATTCTAAACACATTTTCTAAGGGTATATTGTAATTTGGCAAGCAGTGTTAGGGTTATGTTTTTAAAGATTTTTTAATGAGGTTGTTTCTCTTCCATTTCTACTTGTTAATTAAAAGTAAACCTGAAAAAAAATCAAACTTCTATTTTGAAATAATTAGCGACTCACAGAAGGTGGCAAAGAAAGGTCCAATAATGGCTCATGCACCCTCCCCCAACCCACAGAAGCCCCATAAAAATTCTGTTTTTTTTCCTCTGAACCAAGGAAGCAAACAAGGACTGAAGCAGAAAATGGGCTACTTCAGTTCTAGCTCAAGAGTGAAATGGAGACACGGCACCACTGGCTTGTGTCACAGCACAGCCCTGAGGAGCCACAGCAGCATGGCAGGGGCCGGCATGGGCCATGGAGACAGTCAGCCGCTCCTTTCAGCGTCCTCCCTACCCTTTCAGAGTCCTCACTCAGGGAAAGCAGGAGGGGAGGCCTGCAGTCTTTTTAGGTTTCTTCCTCCTTCCCCTATGCTCCAGCCCTTGTCTTTCACGGTGGGAAAACATTTTTTTCCAGAAACTCCTGGGAAGCTGCTGAGGAATATTTGGGAGAACTCCATAACCAGTAACAGAAAACAAGCACAGCTAACAATGTTGGGTTGGAAAAAACAGGAGGATTCTGGGGGTGGTGAATATGAGTGTGCCCTATGTGCTGTCTAGCACCTGAAGTGTTTATGTTAATTTCTCTGTAGCAGAGGAGTCTTAGTCTCATGTCCTGTGTGGTATTTCTATAGCTTTCCAAAATTTTTAAGTTTTAAACAGAAAACCTCAAAGTTTTAAACAATTGTTATGAAAAAGTAAAAAAATTAAGAGTGAACGAGTCAGCCATGGTCCCATTTCTCCCTCTAGAAGATGTCACTCAACCTCCAGGGAGCAGCTAAGCAGCACTTTCTGGAGGAGTCTTACATCAAGCCCCATATTCAGCACTAAGGAAGAGAGACAGAGAAAAAGGGAGACAGAGGCCCAAACGGGTAACATAAGGGATGTGGTATGCAAAGTGTCCACAAAGACTTCTGAGGGGTGTGGTTAGGTCTATCTGGGCATGAAGATCACAAACTGCTGCTGCTGAAGAACCACCATTAACAGAGCCTGGTGTGCACAGATTCAAAATTCCAGTTGCAGATGACAGAAAGGTTTGGGATCTAGATAGTGGTGATGGTTACACAATATTGTGAATGCATTTAAGGCCACTGATTTGTATACTACATCTTAATAGTTAAGGTGATAAATTATGTATATTTTACCACTTATAACCATTTTTTTCTGGTAAAAAATAAAAGCTGAGATGACAGTTCTCAATCAGAAAGGTCATAATTCTGCCAGGGATATAGCTCAGTGGCATAAGCGCCTGCCTGACAAACACAAGGTCCTGAGTTTGATTCCCAGTACCCACAAAAAAAAAAAAAAGAAAAGGTCATAATTCCAATGAACAGCTATCGTAGGAAGCTCCCAACTCCAGTGAGATCCACTGAGAACCTACCATGGGGCTTCCCTCTTCCAGGGCTATCAGTATTACAATGGTTGGGTCCTTGTCTGCTGTATGAAGACGTGAGGCCAAATGCTTGCCCTGTGGTAAACTTGACAGTCATAAAATAAGTGCCCCCAAATTCCAAACGTAGTAAATCTGGGGGGTCAGTATAAGCATACCACAGATGAGCACAGTGGAAAAAGGGAGAAGGCCAGAGTATTTCTTCTTCCCACTCTGTCCCATCCAGTGGACACAAAGGGTATGCAGGAATTTCCCCCGCACCCCACAGGAAGAGGTTTAAGTATGCATTGCTTTTAAAATTAAGACTAGCTATAGGTAAATAAATAATATCCAAGGTGAGCCAGGCATGATGGCACACACCTGTAATCCCAACTCCCTGAGAAGCTGAGGCAGGAAGAGTACATGTTCAAACCCATCCTGAGCAATGAAGTGACTAGAATCTATCTTAAATGTTTAGAAAAATGTACAAAGCGCTGGGGATGTAAGTGTGAATGCCCTGGTTTGTGATCTGTTTCACCCCTTTCACGTTTTCATACAAATGGTCTAGAACAGACTTTCAGCCAGGCCGAGAGACATCTGGCAGTGTCTGGAGACAGCTTTGCTTGCTGCAGTGGTAGGAAGTTTGGACTTCAGGGACACTTACGACTGTCAAGTTTTCCACATGGCACCTAGCGGGTGGGGTTCAGAGATGAGATTAGACATCCTGCAATGCACAGGACAGCCCCCCAACAGGTATCTGGGGAGAGTGACCAGCCATCCCAGGATGCCTGTGACTTTTGCAGTTATAGCCCTGAAAGCCCTGTGTCCCACGACACCCATAGTCTTGGGCACACTGGAAACACTGGCGTCCGGATGCCTGGTGTCAAGTGTCAGAAGTGCCAATACTAGAAACCCTGTTTTGGAAGGAAGACCCATTCACCTAACTTCTCACCAAGTCCTTTTCAATATGATCTTTAGTTTCTGTCATTTCTTATACTGAAACAGTTTTCCTGAAAGTCGGAGATTAACTTCCAATCAAGGGATCCAGTAGCCTCCCCTTTTCCTTCAACCTTTTGGGTTCTTCCAAGCATTTGATACTGTTGGCATCTTTCTTTTTTCCTTCTGTGCTGAGGATCAAACCCAGGGCATCAGTGAACTGCATCCTTAGTTCTTTTCTTTTTTTTTTTATTTTAAAAAATAAAAGAAGGAAAACATATTAACAAAAGACAACCATTTACAAAAGGGCATAAGAACAATACAAACAAAACGGAGTTACAAAGTTGTAGGAAATAAACAGTGGTTGTTGCATTACTAATTGATATCTTCAAAGTGGCTTCTGCAGTCACCTGGGCTGCCCAAGTGGCCTGGAATACCTGGGGGCTCAAGCGTCCTTCTGCCTCAGCCCCCTCAAATAGTTGGGCAACAAGCCCAAGCTACCACATCTGGCTGTGCTATTCATTTTGGAGCCCTTTTTTCTCACTTTTGTTCTCCACCACACCCTCATTACTGCACCTTCGCTCTTTTGGGTTCTTAGTTCTACTTTCTTTTAAATGTACTCTCTTAAAGAAGTGTCCCTTGGCTGTCTTGTTTACTAAAGAATTCCACTTCTTAGAGTTTAGATCTTACTGCTATTCATTGACTTCCAAATCTCTTTCCTGTGTCTTGGTCTTTCCAATGATAGAGGGGTTCTCATGGAAATCCTGCAGAATCTAAAACTCAAGCTAAGTAATAGCAGGTTAAGAACATTTAATATGTTGAGCAAAGAAAATATGGCCTAGCTTACATTTCCAGCTTTATTTCTTTTTCTTTTGTTTTTTGGGTTTTTTTTTTTTTTCTTCTATTGGCAAACTCAGGGCCTTGTGCATGAAAGGCAAGAACTGTACCACTGAGCCACATCCCCAGCCTTATTTTCTACTTTGGTCCAGTAGAAGCCTTAAACTTGAAGTAGCCTGAATAGACTGAGTAGCCACAGTCTTATGTGCCTTGTGCTTTCGTTGTTCTGTGGTTTTGCTCCATGTCTTGTTAGTGGAAAACATGTCTGCCCTTTTCAGCTTCAAATCTTCCCAACTATCCCAGTCAGCAAGGTATGAGATGACTGGATTGGGAGCAGAAGACGTACATCTGTCACTTTACTTGCTTTTAGGCTTGACGATTACTCAAATGTTCTGTAACTCTGTATTTTGAGTAAGGGAATAGATAATAATCCCATTTCTGTCTTTCTGAGATAGCTAACATGAAAGCTTTAAAAGATGTCAACTACTACATACGTATGGGTCTGACTTTCCAAATTCTGACAGCACTTTTTCCCTTTCCTATGGAAGCTTCCTGTCTTCTGCTTGTAGTAACAGACACTTCAGACTTCCTAAAAGTTGAGACCATAATGCAACTCTTTTTCTCTTCTGTAGTTTCTACAATCGTGCCTGTTGCGTTAACATATTTTGTGTAAAAACTAATGAAAGACTAGCAATTCCGCCTTCTCTTCTTAATATATCTTCATAACAATACTTGGCTCACTAATTGCAAACATTTTATACTGTATCAGATTTATCACCCACCCTTTTCTTGCTCTCCAATTTAGGTGATGTCTTTCCCGTGCAAATGAATCCAATAGCTCAATCTCAGTTTGCACCCTTGGCTGAAGTTCTTTGCTGTGCTATATCTGATATGAACACAGCTCAGATTGTAGTAACACAAGAATCACTTCTGGAGCATTTGGAGAAACATTACCCAGGTAGAGTACTAAGTTTTTCCTGTTCTCAGTGCACTGCATATTTGGTTTCTATTTATAAAAAATCTTAAAGGCAAGTAACTTGGGTGATAACTTTTTTCTCCCATCAAATATTATATCAGAACCCTGCCAGAAAAGGTCTTGCATCAACAAATTTGATAAGGATGTTTTCTTTACTTTCCAGATGAACATTTTCATTTGCAGTCCTCTGTCTCAGCTTCCCAGAGTGCTGGGATTATAGGTGTGTGCCACCATGCCCTCTATCAATGTTTATGACATAAATGGAATTATTATATACACTCTCTCTGTGCCTTTTTTCTTACAAAAATTTAAGTCATGATTTATAAAAATGTGGTTTATAAAAATTCCCATGTTTGCTCGGAAGTAATTCTTTCCTCCAAGTTAAAAAAAAATTTTTTTTTAAATTTCACAATAGGCAAAATCTCTACCACTGAGCCATATCCCCATCATACAGACTTAAAGCAGATTTATATTTGAGCGAATTCAGATGTTTTCCCTCTGTTTAACCATTAACTTTGTTCTCTGTCTTTATGGGGACCAATTTGGATGATATTATTCAATTAAGTTATGAATAATATTTATGCTTCTTTGGTATTTCAGTTACATATATTAATTGCATTACAATTAGCTCTGGGTTCATCAAATGTGTGGTTATTTCTGTATTTTTTTTTTTTTTGAGACAGGCGGGTCTTGAACTCATGATGATCCTCTTGTCCCAGCCTCCCAAGTGCTGGGATTACAGGTGTGCACCACCATACCCAGCTATTTCTGAGTAACTGATTTCACCCCTTAAAATGTTTCTTACTCAGATTCTATAAGAGTAAAATGCTTGTTTGTTTTAGGCATTGCACTTCCATCTCAAGATATTCTCTATACTACTCTCGGAACTCTGATTAAAGAAAGGAAGATTTATCACACTGGAGAAGGATACTTCGTAGTTACACCTCAGACTTACTTCATCACAAATACAACTGCTCAGGAAAAGAAGAGGGACCTTCTGTCAGATGGAAGTCCCCTGGGGGGCACTTCCGTGACCTATCTGGTGAGCATGGAGAGCTGTGCAGAGCTGGCCAAAGAAAACGCAGTCCCTGTTTCCCATTGTCAGTCTTGCCGCTGTTTCCCTAGCCTGTGCCCTCAAGATGTGGAGGAGCCACCACCTGCTGCAGAAATGACTACAAAAAGCCAAAAAGGGCTTGGGGAATCCACACCTTTGGTTCAGAATCGGGCAGTTTCAACATCTGAGGAAAATCACATCTGTGACAGTCCCAAAACTTCACCATACACAAAAGACAAAGAAAAAGGCAAAAAGTTTGGTTTTAGCCTCCTGTGGCGTAGCATTTCTAGAAAGGAGAAGCCCAAAACAGAGCATAGCAGTTTCTCTGCCCAGTTTCCACCTGAGGAATGGCCTGTCCGAGATGAAGATAACTTGGACAATATCCCCCGAGACGTTGAGCATGAGATCATCAGAAGAATTAACCCTGTTCTGACTGTTGACAATCTAATCAAACATACTGTCCTTATGCAAAAACATGAAGAACAGAGGAAATATAATAGTCAGGGCACCTCTACTGATACTCTGACAGTCAGGCCGAAGAATCCTTCCAAAGAGGGAGTTAAGAAAAGGAAGGATAGGTCAGCCAAGCCTTGCAGGCGGGGCCTTTCTCACAGGGAAGGACCCAAACCCCAGAGTCAGAGGAGTGAGCTTCAGCCAGAAAGCCTTACGCTGGAGAAGGCCTCCAAGCTCCCTGCTACCCAGCCCACTCCTGAAGTTAAAAGCAGCAATGAAGCAGAAACGCAAACAGGGCTTCATGAGAAGCCGAGATTGCTAGGCTCTCAACTGATTTACAAGAAGCGAATCAGTAATCCTTTCCAGGGCTTGTCTCTCCGAGGGAGCCCAGTAACCAAAGGGCACAGCATTCAGAAGAGAAGCCATGTGACACCCAGTCAGATTGCACCAAAGAAGAAGCCTCTCCAAAGGTCAAGGTCTTCAGAGCCCCCAAGACTTTTCGGTAGCGAAGCCCAACAGCCATGTGCTGAGCAGTGTCATGACAAGCTGAAAGCAGAATCCATTTATATGACCAACTCTACTGTCCAGCCTGTCAGTGATGGCCTCTTAAATTACCCTCCAGGTCATGCTTTGCAAAGTGACAGCCAATGCTTTTCCTTTAGGGAAAGCACGTTGAGATGTGATGCGTATGATGCAGAAAACAAGGTAATCCCTGAAGTCAGGAAGAAAAGTCCTTCTCACTTTAAGAAATTAGGGGAGGCCAAAGAAGCACAGCATATACTGCCATCTCATGGTTCCTCCCCCTTAGATCCATCCTCTGCTTGTAGATTAGTCTATAAAACAATACACCAGTTCGAAAACCTTGGTCTTTTAGATCACCCAGTTGGTGTGGACCATTTGAGACAACCTGGGAGGGAAGACAGAAATTCAGAAGAATTGATGAGAAAGACATTTGTCCAGGAGACAGAGACTGCAAGTCTGGAAAATGAAGGGCTTTTGGCTGATGAGCGGGTTTTGTACCCGAAGCAAGAAGATGACGATGGGGCCTGCAGTTCACTGTATTTAGAGGAGGACAACTTTTCTGAGAATGATGACTTACATCAAGTGTGGTCTGGCCACATCCAGTATTCCTTTACTGGTAGAAGCATCTGTAATCATTTAGGAAAACCAAAAGTGACGGAAGGATTTCAGACTGAGTGTAGTAGCAAAATGGACTGCTTTGTGCCACCAGTGCTTAAAAAAAATCAACATTACAGGCCAACCAGGTTGATTACAAACTCAGGTGAAAGCCAAATACCTAACCTCTCTGCTGAAAGCTGTGGCCTAAATGCAGGGGCCCAGTTTTGTTTTAACTATGAAGAACCCAGTGTTGCTACATGTGTCCAGGCCTTAGCACCTGTTGATGGAAGTTTATTTGATTATTGTAGTGCAAGGAAATCCAATTCTGAGGCTGAAGTCTCTGAGCCTTCTGTTGGTGACACAGGAAAGAAATCAAATAGCTGGAATCGGAGTCCTCAGAATCAGGAAACGAGAAAACATTTCACACAAAAGTTAGACCTTTTCAGTGCCTCGCATGTGCAAGTGTTGGCTCAGAATATTCAGCATGAACACAGTCACTTGGGAGGAACAGAAAATCATAGCATGGCAGGAGATAGTGGAATAGATTCTCCACGGTAAGTGCACATGAGTGTTTGCTTAGTCATTATCCCACAGGAGTTATTAAAATCAAGGGCTGAGTGCCCAGGGAGAGACTCCTGAATAAACTATTATACTGATGCAATTCTACCAGCCTTTAGTGAATTATATAAAGCTACAATAAGACCTCATATAGGAGAATAGAGTCCATTTTTTGTGGTTATTAATTATTCAGAAGAGTTTCATTTTGCCATTTTTTAATTTTGTGTGTGTGTGTGTGTGTGATGCTGGGGATGAATGCAGGGCTTTGTGCATGCAAGGCAAGAGCTCTACCACTGAGCCACATCCCCAGCCCCTGATTTTGGCATTTTTTTTTTACATCCATATGCCATAATTTGATATCCTTGCCCATTACCCCCTTCCTGTTCCCTTAAGAGTACATTTTTAATGTGAATCAAATTTTACTAGTTCAATACTCATACAGTAAAGCTTAACTTCTTTCTTAACATAGAAAGGAACTGCTGTAAACCAAGTACCTCTGAATTTAGGGTTTGAAGCTTTTCAGTTATATTCCTGGGTCTATACAGATTGAGCAAGGGATATGAGTACTTTCCACCAATATTTTCCACTCTAACTTGTTTAAATAACAATATTCAGGTTATAAAAGTAATATGATCATAATAGAACATTTAAGAAGCACTGAGGACTGGAATATAGCTCACTGGTGTAGCACATACTTAGTATGTGCAAAGTGCTGGGTTCAATACCCAGCACTAAAAACAAAACTACTGCTGAGCGTGGTGGCACACACCTGTAATCCCTGCACTTGGGAGGCTGAGGCAGGAGGATTGCTGCAAGTTGGAGGCCAGCCTGGGCTACACAGTGAGTTTAAAGGTAGCCTGAACTACACAGCCAGACCCTGTCTCAAAAACAAAAAAAGTATTTCAAGAGTAAGAGTCAGGACACCACATATCACTGGAGAGATTTTTGTTTCTCTTGTAGGCAAGATCAGCTACCCCAGATCAGCTTTAAAGCAGTCACAGAAGATGTACCTTCACCCTTCATCTCCCCTTAATTAAGGAGGATGAAATGAGGGTAGGAGGAGACAGATGGAAGCACCATCTGATTTTCTTCTGCTGGTTGTAGGGGGCGCAGCTTAGCAACTGTCTGCCTCTCCCCCATGCACCCTAATAGACAATTTGCTATCAAGCCACCATTCTCTACAAAAGTGCAGGCAGACAGGTGTTACAGCGCCGCCTCCCCCACGCCCACCACCTCACACCATACAGTTGCATTTTTTTAATACCGAGAGGGCACCCTGGAGTGGCTAAGGTCAGGAAAGGTGGGACGTGGGCCCTATTTGCACACCCAACATTCACAACATGCTTTCTAGAAGATTCCCTGGTTTCAGCCCTGACCCTGCCTGAAACAAGCCTGCAAGCTATTACATAACCAGCACTTCCCAGGCAGTCTTTTTCAGTCTAGGAGGGTTCCCTCCAGTGTACTGACCACCCCCAAGCTGCAGCACAGTCCCTGTTACAAAAAAGACTTGCTTGGTGTTCCTGGAGTTGGGGGAGTATTTTATTTTTCTTCTGGTTTTTGTGAGACAGGATCATGCTGTTTTCTAGGTTGCCCTTAAACTCACGGCATAGCCCACGTCAGCCTTAAACTGGCGGTAATCCTGCCTCAACCTCCCAAGTTCTGAGATTATAGGGGAATGCTACCACTGTCGGCTCTCAAAAAGTATTTTAAACACCTGTAATTATTGTACTATTTTTCAAAATTCTTTCCTATTTGATGTATTTGTAACATTTAAGTCTAAACATATAGGTCTCCACTTTTTGTCTGTTGAGCTCATAGATTCTATTTTCCACATTGCTTTTTTGGCTTTGTTTTGTGTACTAGGGATCAAACCCAAAGCCTTGTGCATGCTGGGTGAGCACTGTACCACTGAGTTACATCCCCAGCCCTAAATACACCTATTTCTCCCACGGTACCAGCCATGACTTTCTCTTTCTGTGAAGCACAGACTTGCTCTGTTGTCCAGATTGGCCTCACCTCACAACCCTCCTGTTTCTGCCTCTCAAAAATCTGGGGTTACAGGAGTGTGCCTGGCTTCATAGCTTTCTTTCCTTCATCTGATTTATCATGGATATCCTGAGATTAACACCTATTAATCTAAACTCTTTTTTTGTTTTGGCTGAGATGCTAGGGATTGAACCCAGGCCTGGCATATGGTAGACAAGTGCTGTCACTGAGCTACTACATTTTCAGCCCCTACTTTACTTCTTTATTAAGAGAACAAGATCTTTTCTGCTTGAAACAATAGTTTGATTCACACTAATGCATTAAGGGAATCAAAATGTTGTTCCCAAAGTACCCAAGTAATGGTGTAAACCAACAAACTGTGAATTCCCTTTATCTATTGCAAAACCAATTAAACTAAATCAAACAGATTAGGGAAATTACACCTGGACATGCAGGTTGAAAATTCTAATGTGTAAAATCTTGAGAAATTTAGTTTTTAAAAAGTTCCTTATGCTGTCATTACCTCAACAGGCTTAAAAAAGCTTAGAAGAGAAGTTTAGAAGTTTAGGGGGAAAAGATAACATTTGAACACAACTCCATGCCTTGTTACAAGTATTAGGGAACAGAGACGAGCAAGACATTGTTGGTGCCACAGGAAGTTTATCACTTAGTTTTAGTGAAACCAACAAACAATAAACAGATTGAATGTGAGAAAAGAGCATAAATTCACATTTGTCTTATCAAAAATATGTGGACTTAAGGGTGATGGCCTATGTAAAGGAAGTATCACTGGAGGATATATTTCTGAGACATATTAATGTAATGGACAGTTGATGGAGAGAAGCAAGGTAGGAAAGGGGGAATGTCAAAAACAAAAATAACATTTGGGCTAGGGAAGTCGTTCAATGATAGAGTGCATGCTTAAGCAAGCAGCAAAGCCCTGGGTCTAATCCCTAGCACCAAACAAGCAAACAAGCAGAAAAACCAATGTGATTTGGCAGAAACAAGACATACATCAAGCCTAGTGTGGTGGTGCATGCCTGTAATTGCAGCAATTGGGAGGCTGAAGCAGAATGATCACTATGAGTTTGAGGCCTCAACCACAAAGCAAGACCCAATCAAAAGAAAGAAAGGGAAGAAAGAAAGAAAGAAAGAAAGAGAGAGAGAGAGAGAGAGAGAAAGAGAGGGAGGGAGGGAGGGAAGGAAGGAAGGAAGGAAGGAAGGAAGGAAGGAAGGAAGGAAGGAAGGAAAAAGAGAAAAAAGAAAAGAAAGCAAGAAAATAAGACATATATGTCAGATAAGGGCTTGGGATATAGCTCAGTGGCATAAGTGCCTGCCTGGCAAGTGCAAGGTCCTGAGTTTGATTCCCAGTACCAAAAAAAGAAAAAAAAAAGACAAAGAAACATAGTTTACAGAGCCTAGAAAAACAACACTGTTTACATGAAAAATACAGTAGTTGGTTCTTCCCTTCATTATGACTTTGCAAAAACAATAAATTACAAGAAGATAAAGTGACCATTGCAATAGAAAACTATCATATTTTTAGTTTCTAAAATACACTTGATACTTAATCTGAGAACAAGTGTTCAGAAAATGTGAACTTCTTTGAAAGCAGCTAACAAATACTTGAGGAGCTACTGTAAAGCCTTTAAAAATAGAGCACTTTAAAGTTTCAGAGGTTAACTTATTTGACAAGTGTATCTTAGTGTTATTTAATGTACTGCTTCAAAGTAACAAATGAAATGTAATGCCTTGATTAAAATTCCAGGTCCGGTTTGAAGGCATTCATTCTGTTATTTTTAATCTCTTTAGGACACAGAGCCTCACATCTAATAATTCAGTCATTTTGGATGGACTTAAAAGAAGACAAAGTTTTCTGCAGAACTTTGAAGACACAAAGAGCAATCAGACATTCACATCCAATTCCTTACTACAACTAACTCCAGTCATAAATGTTTAGTTTTCTTTTGGAAAGTCTTTTTTAAAAAAAAATGTACAGCAGAATCTTTCAATCAATAAGTTAAGGGTCATCCTAAATCTAAGCATGTATACTATTAACATCATTACATATTTTGTTATAATTACTGGCTTTTTCTCTTGATATTTTAAAGCATTTTTTAGTATATTTTACAAAGAATTTGTTGGAAATGTATAGATTGCATTTTTTTTAAGTATGAAATCTTTGGCCTTTTTCCAGTTAAATGTCATTCATTTACATTCACTAGTTCCTCCAGTACATAGGATCCTAATTTACTATCATATAGTGAATTTCTTTACCTACACTGAGTTCTGATGGTAAGTGAATCTTACTAGATTTAAACATAAAATCCAGAAATGAATGTATATTTTAGGGTTGCATAGATAATTGGCAATTAAAGTCTTTTATCAGTAGTAGAAAGAACTTATATAATGTGTCGGCTACTTTGCAACAGTAATTCTTTTCATCCTGTAATTGTTGGCCAGGCTGTTCTCTCAAGCAGTTTGAACATGAGCAATGGCTCCAAATAGAATTGACTGGCAATGTGCAGAGCCTCTATGGCAGTAGACATTGGTTCCTCCCTACATTCAGTCTCGCTCCATAGCAAGGCAGGGAGGACTCAGATAGTAGGGACAGAAGGAAATCAATGGCTCAGTGTTGAGGAGTTCTCACCTAGAGACTTAGGGAAAAGGTGGAAGACGACTGCTAGTTATTAAGCACTTCGCCCACATTTTGATCCATTTCTGCTCAGAAGGCCTGGCTAGCTCCACTAGAATCTTTTCTGGTAGGCTGTTTTCAGACCAGGGAGTGAAATGGTCTGGATTTGGTTGGATTATAGAGCAGTCAGGACTGGTTTGAGCAGATTAGTGGATGGTGCTGATTTATGGGCAGGAGGATGTATTTTCTAAGAGGTCTCTAAGGATTATCCTAGCCTTAGATCTCAGAGATGACTGAAGAGAGTGCCTCTCTCCACCTCACAGCAAGCATCAGCGAAGCCCAGCACAGAGCTGCATGGATGAAAGACAGGAGGGGAGGTTTACCGCTTTGTTCCACAGCAGCAATCAGCTCACTTGGTCCTGACTGTTGGTTTCCAGTGGGCCCTGGCCACCCTAACACACCACCCCAAGAGTAGCCAAAGGGTCCACAGAGGTAATAGGGAAAGTAGAGATGGAAGTTCGTACACTGTGGAATCGGCACCAATGTATGGAAGTTAGAAGAAAGAGCTCCATTATTTAGGCACAGAGGCTTTGTAATTCTCTTGATGCTGTGTTGCAGAGTTTTCCAATAGTGGAACAGGATGGTAGACTAGATTTTTTTTTTTTCCTCAGTACTGGGGAGTGAATTCAAGATCTTCGTACTGAGGTACACTGCCAGCCCGTCTTTAATTTTTTAAAAATCTGAGACAGTTTTGGTGCCTTTGCACAGGCTGGTTTCAAATTTGCAACCCTGTTGCCTCAGCCTCAGCCTCTCAAAATGTTGAAATTACAGGCATGTGCCAACATACCTGACTCCGAGGATTTTGAAGAATCCTTCTAAGCCTAAGACTGTGTGCTGAAAAATTCAGTGAGGAGCTTATGAAATACTGAATTCATTCAAGATTCCTGAATATTGCTTCGAGTTGTAGATTCTTGCGTCTATTCCTACCAGTCTTCAGAAAAGGAGCATCAACAACTGTTTCATCTTTGATTTTTAGACTAAGTTTCTTAGTACAGCAAGGAATCCAAAGTCTTTTATAACTAGGCGCATCTGGGCACCAATGATACCTATTTTTCAAAATTTTGTCATTGGATGTATTTCTCAAACTTGATTACATGAACTCTGTTATGAAACTAATAATTTTCCTTTTATAACACTCAATCACAGATATTAAAGATGGAAATGTCCTATTAAATTGTTTCAAAGATTAATCTCCAAAATAGGTGATCTGTGGTATTTTTCCAATAAATTTTTAATGGAAACTTGCAGTTTTTTTATTTTTCTTCCCCAATGGTTGAATTTACTGCAGTAATACCACACCATCCCCTGCTAGTGTGACAGGATTAAACCACATATATGTTATTCATAGATTTGAGGAAGTTATGACTGACTGCAATTAAGCAGACTAAATCTTTCAAAATGTCATGTTCATGAGGAAAAACAATGAAAAGAGCTTGTAGAAGAGAATGATTGGTGAGCTGGGTTTGTGGCCCAGGCCTGTAATCCCAGCACTCAGGAGGCCGAGGCAGGAGGATCACCTTGAGTTCAAGGCCAGCCTGGACTATAGTGAGTTCAAGGCAGTCTGGACAACCCAGTGAGACCCTGTCTCAAAAAGACAAAAAGTTTGGGACCCACTGCATTTTGAAACCTATTTCTAGTATGGAAGAAGATTTTCAGGCAAGAAGGCAAGATATTGCCTAATGGAGGTAGGAAAGACACATAGGAAACAAGAGTGGATGTATCAAAGATGAACTCAACACTACGCTAGCCTCTCTTGTCTTTTTTGAAACATCATAATTTCTCCTTTAGCAGAAGCAGCTGCTCAACATTTCTTAGGTAACGATGCCCTCTTCTGGGGTATCGGATGTGCCTCTGAAACCCTTCCACAAGCAACTCAAAACATCTACAAGCACCTGATTAAAGAAACAATGGCACCTCCTTCTAAAGGATAGATATTTTGAAAACACTACAGTGACTTGAATTAGGTGCTGGAGGCATGCGTACATGTACACATGTTCACTGTGTTTAAAGACACCTTCTTTCCAATGCTGTCAAAACTCCCTCGTGTTTGTAGTGATATTATTGCCCAACCTCCCAGTTGCCCACAGTTTGCATCGTTCTCACTTCACTAACACAGATTTTCATGTTGAGCTGGCCAAAGTCAAATGGCTAGCAAGGGGAGACAAATCCTCTTCAGTCTCACTCTTTACTTTCTTCCTGCTTTGGCATTGTTTTCTCAGTACTCATTCTCTGTTCCCAATGTCTCTTGATGAACTTGTAACTGCTTTTTAAAAAAGCTGCTTCCATAGCACAGCCTTTTCGAAATATAGTTATATCTTTCATTACGTAAGTTTGACATGCATATGTCAGTTGCCATATTTGATGGCAACTTTTCTTTTTCAACTGTTCTTACTATTTTTTAAACTATGGAGTAAAATTAAAAATCTAGCTTTGTAGGCTGTTTTGTTGTTTTGTGGTGTTAGGGATCAAACTCAGGGCCTATACATACTAGGCAAACACTCTACCACTGAGCTACATCCCTAGCCCTAACCCTATAGTTTTGAAAGCAAGCAGAGAGAGGCAAATTTAGTTGTTTTGGGCGTTTTTGGTTTTTTTTTTTCAGACAGGGTCTTGGGATGTAGTGCAGGCTGGCCCCAAACTCACAGCAATTCTCCTGCCTCAACCTTCCATGTGCTGGGATTACAGACATGTGCCACTCCACCCAACAGTCATCTTGTTTTTTATCTTAAAAGTCACAGTTTATTTTAATAAAGTAAGGCTAAATACAAAGGAAATCCTTATACAAGCTTGAAACATACAGCAGCAAATAAAGCATTCAAATTTTGTAAAGAACATTTGTATCTAATGCTCTAAGATACTTGGAAAAGAAAGATGTTCTTAGAAGATTATACTTGGCTGCTAGGAGTGTAGCTCTGAGGCAGAGCCTTTGCCTAGCATGCACAAGTTCCTGGGTGATCCCTAGCACTGAAAAAAATACAGCATTTTGGAGCCCAGCACCATGGTTTGCCTAATTCCATCTCATAGGGAGGCTGAAAGAAGATTGCTTGAGCCAGGAGTTCAGGATTACATTTTGAACTATGCATTTATTTATTGGCGGTATGCTTCCCTTTACTTTTAGCTGTCATCATGAGACAAAATATTGTGAGATTTTTTCCAATTAAAAAAAAATCCTCATTCTCATGTTTTCTAGTTGACTGAGGGAAGATGATATCCACTGAGAACACAGTGTGGCACCAGGCCTGTAATCCCTGTACTGCACCCAAATATTCTCCGGGGGAGCCACTCCTTGGGGAAGTTATGCGTGTAGCTTTACACTTGCCCTTTCCACCTGGCACAGACAGAGGCCAGAGATTTGGTTCAGCTAGTATCAGGCTTAGCAAGCATTATGGATAGTGTGGAGAAACACAGGTCTCCCGGAAAACAGAGAGCACTCACACCTTTTCCTCTTAAGACCTGCTGTTAGGACATCTGATATACAAATGATGCCAAAATAAGACTTTTTTTGAGAGAGAGAGGGTCTCCCTATGTAGTGCAGGCTGCCCCCGCACTTGCTTATGTAGCCCAGGCTGGCTCTAAATTCACAGAGCCTCAGCCTCCCGAGTACTGGGAGGGATTACAGGTACACCCAGCAAAAATAAGCCTCTTGAGTAGCTAACACTTTACTCTGCCCATATATGACCTTCGACCACAAGATATTAATGTCTGTTCCTTTTATCCCATTTTACATGCGGCATCCTTAGCCACACCTGTTGGACACTATAATACCCTGTTGTGGGCCTATCGAGACTTCACCATGGTAGGCTTGGGAGTAGTCATGAAGGAGTGGAACACAGGGATTTAGAAAACACACATACATTCTCACTCTAGGGAGAAAGATGCCTTTTCCCACCATGGTGAGTTGAACATTCCTTGTATGCCCACGATTAAATTGACGTTAGATCTAAACATGTTCACTGATGCCGCCAATCCAAAATTATGCAGAAAAACTGATGCAATCACTGTTATATTTGTGGTTGCAGTTACTCAGGACCAACCCCAAACTCCACACGGAGCAGTCTGTAATGTTGCCAAGAGATTTGTGGGCGCACCCTGTGCCTATACCTCAGTTTGCTTTCTTCTTCTCCACTGAGGTCAGTAGCAACTGAGCAGAGTACTCAGCTACTGGGCTGAAGAGTGATGAAGAGACACACAAACGACCTCAGGAAAAAAGCCAGCTACTTAGCACTGATGTTAAGAAGTTGTACATACTCTGGCAGTTAATCCCCATTGATAAAATAAACGTTTTTATTCCATGTAAACACGTAATCTGTCAAAGATATTTAAGGCTTGTTTTCACACCAGCAGAAACTGCTGGGTTTTTCCTCCCACCTCTACTTATTCTTTTTTTTTTTGAGAACACCTTCCTCCACACATTTTGCGAAACTTAAAAGCTTTCAAACCAGGCACAGCACTCAGTAGGCTGAGGCAGGAGGATCCCTGCGAATGAATTCAAGACCAGCCTGAGGGCTGGGGATTTAGCTCAGCGGCAAAGCGCCTGCCTGGCAAGCGCAAGGTCGTGAGTTCGGTTCCTCGTACCGGAGAAAAACCAAAAAAAAAAAAAAAAAAAAAAAAAGACCAGCCTGGGCTACAAAACGAGGCACACACACACAGCCGTCTCAAAAAAAAAAAAAAAAAGCAAGCTTTCTAGTTGGTGTGGTAGAGAAAGCGCTGATTCAAGAGATTAAATTCTTCAGTCCGATCTATGCTATTAACTGTGCGGCTTCAGACAAGTAAATTCCTTTCGTGGGTGGGTTTTGTTTCCTGTGATGTCAAATAGGGAGCGTGAGAAGTGAACCAATATCTAACTCCGGGCTCAAAGCCTAAATCTTCGCGGGCTGAAGAGCACCCCACCCTCGCCTTCCCTTCAAGCCTAGCCCGCCCACTCCCGACGTCCGGAAGCCCCTCGGCCCTAACGCCGGGCCACCCGCCCTGCGCACAGCCGTTGGACGTTAACACCTCCTCCCGCAGTGGGCGGAGCAAGGGCTGCAGCTTCCGGCGGCGAATGGCGAGGCGGCGCGTGGCGCTCTCCGCCCATCGTGGCTCGGGACTGCGCAGGCGCCAGCCCGCGCGCGCCCCGACCGCTCTCCCTGCTGTTGACGGGCTTCCCACTCGGGCAGTGCACGCTGGGAAGCCCCGAAGAGTAGCTGGAATGCCGAAAATAGTTCGCGTAGGAGATGGAGAGACACTCAATCACTTACGCTAGTCAGTACGCGCAACCTTTACGGAGATTGGCCAGGTTTTTAGTCTAGAAACCAATCGTTTTAGGAACAAGGGTGGGCCAACCGAAACCTCCCACGCTCATTGGCTAGAAGGTTGCGGCGCAGGGGAAGCGTTTAAACCGATAGTATCCGGGATTATCTTCCCTCCCCGCCGTGCGGTGCGTGTCCCGGAAGTGACGCACCCCTGGCCGGGCGGCCGCCCTGCCCCCGCTTCCTTTCACGCCGTCGCTGCCCCGGTGGTTGCGGCCACCGTGCCCAGAGGGAGGTGGCGGCGGCCAGTAATGCCTGGGAAACTTCTCTGGGGTGATATTATGGAGTTGGAAGCGCCCTTGGAAGAATCTGAGAGCCAGAGGAAGGAGCGGCAAAAGGTGCGCTGAGGATGGGCCGCGCCTCCTTTCGGGCTGCGCCGGCTTGGGCGGGGAAGGGAACTGCCCCTGCTGGTGGCCTGTCAGGCCCGGCCGGAGCATCCGTGGGCCGCCCCTTCCGCCGTCCTCGCCTCCGGGCTCGGGAGACCCTTCCCCTCGTCACGCTTCCGACGTGGGGGAGGACGGCCCTGGCTTCGGCCCGGCCTCCCCGGCCCTGCATCGGTTCCCGTTGGTGCCTCAGTTTCTGCTCAGGGGTGGGCGGGCTGGAGCGCGCATCGCCCCAAAATCTCCTCTTTTTCCTTTAGCAGCAGAGCGTGTCATTTGAGTCTTCTGGAGCCGTCTTAGGGGATGATTAAGAAAAATGATTGCCTTGTCTGTGTGTTGCTTCTCTGTCACCTTGTCTTTTGTTTAAGAATCTAGGGAAAGAGATCTTAGGTTTACAAATCTGGGTAAGTAGTTTATAGGGGCTTAAGGAGTGGTGTCACAGATGACGTTGCCAGGATTTGTCTGTGATGGAGATCGTGTGGGTTGTATTATTAATAGTTATGGTTGCCAGTATTTTCAATCCACAGGTATTTGTCGAGCCCAGTTTATACCACATTCTTGGCTGAGTGCCAG